AACATCATAAAAGGAAAACTCATTACCTAAGGGTTTGCACATATCTTGAATCCCTGCTTGCTGGCTTTGCCACTATTGATGTCAAGATTCATACGGTGTTACAGGCAAAACTGGAACTTCCACCTCTCAAACCCCTACACTTCATCACCGAAGGCATTCAAGAACTGACTCTAGGAGCCACCAACAATCTAGACCTCGACATTATTTTTCGCACAGCCAAGGGAGCTCCAAAGAACTTTCTCCTTGGTCGATCCTTCCATCGTTTTAGCAAGAAACAGCTAGAAGACATCCTTCCGCTGACCGAAAAATCCAAATCTACAACTGAGGAGGTCAAGCATGAAATTCAACGAAGAATCAACTAGATATTTCAAGTTAGAGTTTTTTGGTGGATCCTGATCGAGTTCTTCAAACTCAACAAGTAAATGGTGAAAGCTACAAGGTCACTTAAGGGGAAATTGTTAAGACATAAAGTGACCCTCGATAGCTGAAGTGTGTAATCAATACCGCGAAGTTGATGATTCAAGGAACCGGAGAGGAGATAAGGCGTACCGAAGAGCCTTGTAAGTTGTTGAGCAATATTGGAGAGGAAAAGTCTAAAGATAGTGTTACGTCTTTTCAGTGATAAAACAATGATGAACTTTATCCTGACATTTCTTGGTGAACTACACACATCAGTCATGGGAAATAGGGCCGCCCAAGCTACTCTTATTTTATAATTTAATGTGTAATGTTTTGTCCTATAAATAGATGATCTTGTTGATCAATCCATTCAGGCTTTTCCACTTCCGATATCTTTTCTCTATGTAATCATTATATCAATACAGAAATCTCTTTATCAAGATTATCTTTCACACTTAGTTGTTCATCACGTTCTAACCTAGTCTTGAATTCAAGCCTTGTTACGATTCAACTAAAGTGTTTGCTTATGTTTTAAGTAAACTTGTTGTTATATCTCTTCCTTATTTTTCCGCAATCTAGTCATTGTTGAGCTTCACTAAGAGATCCATTAATTCCGCACGTATCTTAATATCATTCAAATATTAAACCCTGTGTTTTCTCAACAAAATTAAATCGAAAACCAATATTTGAAGAATAGTTGAGCTCATGTGAGCCAAAGAAGGAGTAAAACTCATTCAGTTCTCCTACAAAAGTAGCATAAAAGGGATCTAGTATCTAATTCCATGAGAAACCATTTGCACTTAGTCGATCCGAAAGTGTGCACTTTTAACCGACTTCATTCGGTACAGATGGGGAAAGTGTGATCGTAGTGGAGTATCCCTGCACCATGTATCTTTCCAAAATAGGATTCTAAGGAGTAACACAAGTTAATACTTACTTGACTTGGATAAGTTCTAAGTCAAACGCAGTCTTCGGGGGACCAAAGAGATAATTAAAATATTAGTTAATAGTTACTTGACTACGGTCTTCTATAGAAGGGGAAATATTCACTACGATGTAAGTTGTAACATGATTTTTATTTATCATGCGAGCATAAAGATCATAAAATTTTATATTAAGGCTTTCTTCAATAGCTTTGGTGCATCAATTTAGAACTTGGTAAGCAACAACTTTGGTAGAACGACCCAAACAAATTGCTTCATCAGATTTAGGTTGAAATTTCCTCAGGTGGTCTCGTTTATTTTTTATAAAGCACCAACATTAGAAGATACGGAAGAATTTGATATTATCCTTTTGACAATTCTTACCTTTGTTTGGAGTGCAGTTGAGATACTTATTGCTAATAATGTGGTTTTGAGTGAAAGTTTTAGTATAGAAAGCTTCTACCCAAAAAAATTGGCATATTAGCAAAGTTAAGTATGGACCTTGAATTTTCAACTAAGGTTTTATTTTTTCTTTTGAAAACAATGTTCTACAATGGAGTTGGGGTGCATAAAAGTAGTGTTCCATTCAATTCTGCATAAGAAAATCATTATGCAATGGATATGATCAAATTAATGAGTTCAAACGTTTTGTCGGCCTTATGTGTTTAGAGTGTTAATAATACCATCTTCCACATACTTTATTTTTAGAATGTAAAATAAAGATTTAGAGTTCGGTTGGAGATGAATAGCTCTAAACTCTATTTTACATTTTAAAAAAATAAAATATAGGTCAATGAGTTACGCATCACATCTTTCATATGTTTTACAAAGTCAACACAATCTTAAATGCTTTAATTTACAAGTACTTGAGATTATTTCGATTTTTTAAAGAAAATATGTTAAATATGTTTGAGAGACTAACTGATAAAAAAATAAGGTTTGATAAAAAGTAAAAAAATAACTAATAATCTATTTAAAAATATTAAATTATATAAAACGACATCTAGAAAAATAATTGAATATTATATGAAAAATGCATAATATATTTCATTAAATTAAAAACACTTATTTATGTTTAAATACATATATATTGCATGATATAAAACGACATATAGAAAAATAATTCAATATTATATGTAGGGGTGACAACTCTCGACCCAACCCGTAACCCGACACTGACCTAACCCGAAAAATAGACGGGTTTGGGTTGAGTTTTTTGACCCGCCAACCCGTCAAACATGGGTTGGGTTAGGTTATCTGTTTGGGTTCGCGGGTCAACCCGCCAATCCCGTATATATATATATATATATATATATATATATATATATATATATATATATATATATATATATATATATTACATTTAAAAAAAATGATATATTTAATTATTAATGAAATTTGATTTCCATCTGTATTCGTAATATTCTGTATCATTGTATTCCTTCCGTATTTATATGTGACTAATCTGCGTTTGCGGTTCGTTAATCAAAAAAAGAAAAAATACATGTCGTTATTTTCACGAGTCACGAACGAAGAACACATCCACTTTCTATGAATGTTTTCATTTTTCATTTTTATTTGGATGTTATTGACTTTATGAATTTATGTTGAAAACCTTTTTTTATGTTAATTACTTTAATCATTTTATGAATTTATGTTGAAAAAACCTCATTTTTTAAAATTTGTTGCTTATTTATTAAACGGGTTATATGAGTTAGGTTTGACCCATTAACTTGTGAACCCGCGAACCCATATACTTAAACGGGTTATATGGGTTGAGTTGGGTTGAAGTTTCCAACCCACCAACCCGTGACCCGCCAACCCTTCAACTCATATATTATATGGGTTGGGTTGAGTTTATGTTATGTGACCCGCTAACCCGTGACCCGTCAACCCGAACTCAACCCAATTGTCAGACCTAATTATATGGTACTCATAATATATCACGAGTTTATCACATCTAATCTCATGACTTTCGAATCACTGAATCTTAAATAATGGTGTAAATTTATACTTATACCTGATGCGGGGATACTCCATTACAATCACGCTTAAAGTTCTTAAATAATCAACATTAAAGTAACGTAAGTTTCAAGCTCTTAAATAATTAACATTAAAGTAACGCAAGTTCCAAAAATATCACAAAAGTACACGACTTTAAAAAATGTTGTGAAAAATATATACCTTATTCATAATTGTAAAAAAGTTGCAACTTTCGTTTGTTTATTCAATTCTTTGGACAATATAGAAAGCCTGCAATGTTATGGTGTTTCGGAAAGTAAAACAATTATTTGCTAATAATAATAGCATTTTTACTTTTAATTAGATTACAAATAGATTTAAGTTTAGATTGATTGATTGGTCTATTTTGTGTATCCAGTTTCAAACTTTTTATGTATTTTGATTTTTGAGCTTCTTGTTTAAGTGTTCGTTTGTTTATTGCTAATGTTTTGAATGTTGTTAAAAAATACAATGGTTTTAATAAAAAAAATTCAAATCCTTTACTCAAATTAAAAGTAAAACAAAATTATACAAACCTATTTTGCGTCATATAAGAAACTAGCTAAACACTTTGATTTTTTAATATTTTCAACGATATAACATAATAAACCGTTATTTAAGATTTAGTGATTCGAGAGTCATGTGATTAGATATGATAAATTCGTGATATATTATGAGTTCCATATAATATTGAAATATTTTTCTATATGTCGTTTTATATAATGAAATATATTTGTATTTAAATATACATAATTGGTTTAATTTAATGAAATATATTATGTATTTTTCATATAATATTGACCTATTTTTCTATATGTCGTTCTATATAATTTTATATTTTTTAAATAGATTATCAGTTATTTTTTACTTTTTATCGAACCTGGTTTTTTTATCAGTTAGTCTGTCAAACATATTTAAAATATTTTTCTTTAATAATTACAAGTACTTGTAAATTAAACAATTTAGAATTGTGATTACTTTTTAAAACATATGAAAGATATGAGAAATAACTCATTGACTCATGTTCAGACTCATGTTCAGACGTGACAATATTTAGTGCCTATGTTCCAGAAGATTCGTCATTAAAGACTTTAGGACATGGAGCATAGCCTCATGTTGCCAGCGGATGATTATCAACACGTAAAAGTTGGCCCGAAACCTTAGCGAGGTTTTTTTTTCATAAAAAAATGTTCCTTGATACAACTAGTTAAAGTGTTCCATACAAAACATATTTTTAATTTTTTGTATGATTTGATAAAAAACTACAATTTATGATCAAAGAACATGAATATCAACATTCTTTTAAAAATTCAAACATGAAGATGTTAAAATTATATATTTTTGAAAGGGTAAATGATATACATGCCCTATTATGTTTCTAGGGTTTACCTTTTTAGTCACTTCAGTTTTTTCGTGACTTTAGGAGGGAACTAAGTTGTGAGTAACCTGTCCTTTTAGTCTTTTTATTTGTTTTAGCCGGTTTGGATAATAGATAGACCAAACTTGGACCCCACTCATCTCTCTCTTAACTAAACCGCTTTTATGACCTATTAAAGTCAAACGTTTCCTCACTAGATCTGTGTTCATCGTCTCCAATGGCAAGCTGATAAAAAAGTATCAACTCAAACTCAGATCTCCACATACAAAATCAAAAACCCAGAAATTGTAGAGAGAAAAATGGAAAACCACACACATCGTCGACCTTTCATTTGCCACGTGCATCATGAACTTACCACAACCTTCATCGCCATCTCCACAATCTCCACAAATGTCTCTACCGACGACAACAACTCATCTCAGAAATCAGTCGTGGGTATGGCGGTCCATAAAGCAGGAGATTTAGCCATATGGAGCGATGATCGGATCAATAAGGTTGGTGAGAGTTCTGGGAAATCAACTGACGGATTAAAGGGAAGAGATGGAAGAAGAGATGAAATCGAAGTTAGGTCTCGTAAGAGGGGATATATATTAGGGAAAGTTTCAAAGAGGGGCAAGAATGCGACTCCAGTTTGTTTAATTGTTGAATCCGATGATGATGATGATGATCATGTGGGGCTGAATGAACCCTCTCCTCCGAATCATTGTGAATTTAGAACTGAAGAGACTTCTGGAAGTGGAAAGGTCGAGAAGAAATTGCGAAGCGGGAGATCTTCAAAAAGAGGCAAGAACACGAATCGAAATAGCCTCATCGATGATTAGAGAATGACTGTGGCCATGGATACTATGAAGACGACGATGGTGTCGAGTTGAGTAAGAGCTCTGGTAGGAATCAAAATATGCCCGATGTCGCAGGGGTTTCTACACGTGGAAAAACAAATAAAAAGTTCAAAAATGGATTTGCTGTCTCAAGTAGGGTTTTTTTGGGGGAAAGCTTGGATAAGAAAAGCGCGAGAACAAATAATTCACAACATAATAGTGATGAGGATGATGTATTTTCATTATTGGGGGGTAATGTTAAATAGAGCAAAAGCCACGGGAGGAATGACGGTTATGGGAAGACGATTCATGAAGATAAGTTTGTGACTTCACATGGTTGTCTCCTTGATGAAAGTGATGACCATGAACATATTACAATAGATGATGATATTACATGTTTGGATGACATTGATCCCTCCCATAGCTCACGTGTTGGAAGCAATGAGGTAAAGTTAAGCCCGGTGGAATTGGATTCCATTCAAGCAGATGAAGGTGATGATACACAGGAGCTAAAGTCATCTGAAGAAGACAACAGTGATTGGCGGGACTTGGACCCACCTGAGAATGCTAATGTTGTTGGTGGTAAGGATGTTGAAGTTATCAGTTTGAGTTGAGAGAGAGAGAGAGAGAGACCTTTTTATTATTTTTAATTATTAAAATATAAAAGTAAGTGAATTGTCCTAAGGGGACTAAAAATGACCGGCTAACCCCTTCACAATTGAAATAATGATTTAATCGACCCGACAAAGTGTAGTTCGTTCCCTTATAAAGCCACAAAATAAGATAAATTGCTAAATGGGTAAACCCTACAAACATAATAGGGCATATATGTCATTTTCCCTTTTTGAAACATATGTTAAATATTTATTTTTTGCAAATACATTTTAAACTTCGCCCAGTTTTGATTTTAGATAAAAATATAATTGTGTTTCATTGTAGGGCCTAACATATGTAATGTCTAACTTAAAATTAATGTAACCCGTTTAAAGTGTTTGTAATTCTCCAGGTGAATAAAATTATAAAAAAATCAAAACACTATCACGTAAAATGATAAAATAGTACAATATCGGTGGATTAATTGTGAAAAAAAAATTAATGACACAAGTGGATAAAACAATTATTCATAGCAACCTTCTTCTTACAATATTGTGCTTCGAAAGGTATAGGGTCAAGGACATAATCCGGTAACCAACTATATAAATTGCTTTAAAGATGATACTGTACTGAAAATATGATATAAAAAGGTAACCGACCTTTATTTTTGTTTTCTGTGGTTTAAAATTTGAACATTCTTCCTAATTAAGTGAAGATGAAAATACCAAAAGTCAATAATAATACATTTTGCATGTTGGTTCGGAATGAACCAATAAAAACCGATTGGTTTGCAAAAAGACGGGTTCAACTAGACCATTTGAACGTCTAAAAAACCAATAAAACACTTTAATTGACCCATAAAATTGGATTTTTGCAAAAAAAAAATTATTTTGTATGAATGAATTTTTTTTCTTATAAAGATCTTACTTGCAACAATCATTTCCTACAACCAAGTGTGTTGCTTTTCAACTCTCTTTATAACCCTTCACCAATTATTTTTATAATATCAAACACTTACATCTTTTTTTTCTTCAATGTGAAATGAGTTTTGATAATATTAACCACTGGCTTTTCAAATTTAAGTATAAGTTATCCACCATTTCTTTTATTTTTTTGTTTGTTATTTAGTCCAATAATATAAAATAGGTCCTGAGTTTTTGAACAATAGATCCTAAATTTTTATTATATAATACTATATAAAATTTAAAAATTAGATGGATTTAAGACCTGGATCTAGATAACTTCACCTTTGTCTATGTGGATTCAAACCGGGAACCCGCTAACCACGGTTATAAAAGTGGTATAAAAACAAAAATAAAAATTATTTATCTTTTTAAAATATTATTTAAATGCAGTGATACTTTTGAAAAACTTTAAATGGTTGGTTATACAGTTATTAACCCGGAAAACTATTGTTGACATGATTTATGGTGTTCAAATTTATGGTGACTTCCTTTGTCCCTTAGCTTTACATCTTGTTTTATTTTCTAAATTTTTGTTAGCATTAATAAATATGTAATTAAAAACATTTGGTTCCAAATGGAATGTTTCTTCTTTTTCGATGATGAAAAATGATTAGAGGATTGTATTTTATTGTAACGAATTATCCTCCAAAAATTATAATAAGTTGCAGAAACGTAGGATTATTGCTGTTTTATAAATAAATGTTTAACACTTATGAAATGGATGGTGGGGATGACGATGGCATGGTGAGTGAACAGTGAGTTGCTATGATGACACATCTTGAAGTTATCATCATGATCTTTGAAACACCTGTGCATGCACCATTCCCTTTCATCTCTTGTCTTTTATTCCTATGCGCCCTCCTCACATCCATCGTCCAGCCCTTTTGCTTTTATTTTGAAGACAAATTCTCTGAAAGTAGATGATATATTTTATTTTATATTATCTAGGGTTCAAAAATTTATTCTTATTTTATATAAATAATCAGTATGGGTGACAATTTTCACATGAATTAATGAAGTTAGATTGCAAATCATGCTCTAACATGCAAAGAGACCTTGTAATGACTGTTGGATACTTAATTTTTTGGGAAATTGACTTATCTAGGTAATTAGGTGATGCTTTTGTTTGGATAAATTCGTTTTTTTTTTACACATTTAGATAACAAAGTTGTTGGAAGTGTTCACATATGACTATTATGATCGGTCATATTGGTCATATGTGTACACTTTCAACAAATTTATTACCTAGATGTATAAAAAAAAGCAAAGTTACCTATATATGAACAAAACGAAAAGACAATTATTTTGGTATTTCAATTTGTTTTCTTTTTTATTTTACCTTCTAAATTTAACCTAAATGATAAATATTTTTAAAACCGCACCATTTTAGTAAATATCTTTTTAAAATACGTTACTTTGGTAAATAAAATCTCCAGATTTGATAGAGAAAAAACAAATCGTCATTTTATAGAATTTTATTGTTTAAAATATTAAATATAGAAGTTGAAATTTACTTAAGACTAAAAGTACCAGACATGCAAACCAATAATATGGAATATAACATCATCTTCAATGAAATTTACTCCATGTATTACAAGAATTTAAAATACAAAAAATAAAATTAGTTTTTATCTACATCCATAGCATTGCTCTTGTCTCATATATACATAGAACCATTTGATAATTATGCTACCAAAAACGGCTCCCAACATGACGTAGCCAATTTAAATGGTCATAAATATTGTTTTAAGGATATTTAACAAAATATATCAATATTGTAAACATTATGATCGATCGCCTTAATAAAAGGGAAATTGATTTATCAAGGTAATTATATTTTCGTTTTGTTCACATCTGGGTAACTTCGTTTTTTATACACATTTAGGTAACAAACTTGTTGGAAGTGTTCACATATGACTATTATGCTCAGTTGTAACTTGTTACAGCCGATCATAATGTTCATATGTGGAAACTTCCAAAAAGTTCGTTACCTAGATGTGTACAAAAAAACGAAGTTACCTATGAACAAAATGAAAAGGTAATTACCCTAATAAGTCAATCTCCCTAATTTTCTCGCTTCCCTCTAGTACTTAACAACTTTAGTTTTAATTTATTTCTCCATTTTTAATTCAAAAGAATATTTTATTTTATATTCATCAATATAAATAATTTATTTATTTTTCACGTATAGTAATAATAATATATTTTTATTTTTATATATTAAAAATAAAACTAATGTGTTTTATTTTTAAACAAAAAAATAACAATATATAAGAGTAACTTCAACCATATTTTATTTTTATATTTTATTTTTAAAATGTAAAATAGAATTTAGAATGATTCATCTAATTCAACCCTAAAACTCAATTTTTACATTCTAAAAATTGTAAGGGTCGAAGTATGTAGTGAGGTGTCGAAGTATACTTAGGCCTGAGTTGTGTCGAGTGTCGAGATCATGTATTTTGAATGTATGTATTATGTAAGGCATCTTAGTGGTCGAAGTTTTCACGTTTAGTCATTATGTATTTTTTGTACGCGCCTGTATGTTCCTATAAATAGGGATAAGTATAGGAGTCGAGGGGAATTTTTGAGCTTGAGTGCTTGTACTCTTTTGTGTTCCTATAATCTTTGAGACGTAATCAAAGTGCCAAACAGATTCTATTTAAATCTTTGATCCTAACACATTCAGTTCTTGATTTTATTCTTAATACTTGATTCAAATGAACTATCTTTGGTATCAGAGCTAGATACAATCATTCATTTCTGGTTTCTCGTCTTTTTCAAAAGTTTTGAGCCGTTCTTTCCGATTCAAAAGATTTCTGCACTTTTGATTAAGAAAACTAGTTTTATTTGAGTGATTTGTTATGATTCTGCAATCGTTTGACTAATCTAGTGTTTTCTGAATAGTTTGTGAAAGATTCATCCGTTAGATTTTCTTTTTTTAAAGCTTTTCGTCATTTCAGTCTGTACAACAATGACGAATTTTAACATGAACACGATGTCTGGATTTTCTCATCTTCTTGGATCTTCTACTAAAATTCCAATGCTAATTCCTGAGTACTACGAGCAATGGGCAGATCGCATGGAGGACTACCTCAACGGGATCGATGAGGATCTATGGCGATGTGTTACGAGTGGTAATTACCGTCCACGAAGGCTAGAACAAATTGGAACAACAGGTTCATCTGCCGATGTTGGTTTGCAAGCGGATAAACACAAAGGTAATGACAAAAAGTGTCTCCGTGAACTTTGTGGTGCTCTTCCACCGGTTGTTTACAATTTTGTCCGAGGTTGCAAGACGGCTAAAGAGATCTGGGATACCTTAAAGGAAAAGTATCAAGGCAGTTAGAAGACAATGAAGAGCTCAGTGAAGTAGTGTCTGCTAGAACTTAGGGAATTCAAGCAAAAAGAAGGTGAAACCATTGAACTTTACTACAATCGCTT